AGAAACAGCTGCCATGGCCTTGGTGACAGTTTTTACTGAGATACGAAGGGTTTTGATGTCAAACAGAGTATCTGTATTTTTCCTAGTAGGAGTTTTCCGTGTATAACATGTTTAACCACCGGAGCTAAAAATCCAAGAGGATCGTAGATGCTCTTTGTTGTTGGTAAAATTTCTCTCCGTGCTATCGGTTTATTTTCGGATGATAATTGAAATAGGACGTTGTCAGTGTTCAGAGTCCAAGACTACGTTGCAGAGGTTTGCCTTCGGCCTTTGAGTCTAGATCCTTAAGGTTGGAGGCCTAATCACTAGCTTGAAATGCAGACATAACTTCCGCAAAGTTAAAGGAGAACTTTTTACGCCTAAACTTTTTGCTAATTCTTGATGGTGTCTTCCGTGAATTTGACTGCTTCCTCTTTTGTATGGCACGACATAAGACCATCGTCGACCTAGAAGTGTCTTGTCACAAAGTGTGTAACGTGACTGCCGAACGTGTTCTGATGCCTGATCCGCCTTTTTGAGTCCAAGCTTATCAACGGCAGTTTATGGACTATTTCCAAACACACAAATCCTCTTGTACTATTCGGCAAGATTTTCGTTTAGGTCGTTGTTTTAAATTGATGCGATAGAAACCTTAGGCAGTTTTGGTGTTCTTCTCTGACTACAACACAGTGAAACATGTCCAGATTTGAACAATGATCTCTTAGTAGTTTCAAAAATAGTTGCAGTAACTGCTGACGTTCAAAATCACCAATCTTTGAAAAAAAGGAACGATGATAAGCCTGGAACGTCATACATATGAAGACCAAATGTCAAAAGCAGATGAACTACGAATTTGTAAGACACTAAAACGGACGTTGCGTAGCACCGTTACCGTTCCGCGACCCAAGACAGCCATTTACAAGCAACAGACAACAATTTCTTCATCGTACCAATCTGTTAAGCGCCAGGTTTAGTGGGAACCCGGTAAAACGATGATTGCAAGTCCTTCGTTACATGGTTTATGTAATTTTCCCTGAATTCAAACTTGCTTATACATGGTTGAAACGTTGATGGTTGTCCGGTAAGCCAAATGTGTGTTTTTGACGTGTAATACGAGAGAAACGTGTTGTTTGTTAATTCAAGTCTCTCCTATTACTTCGAGGGCGTGGTGTGTCTCTAATAGGCCTCTTCCAATAAAATGTAAAATATGGCAATGCTCCTTAATCGGTGGAAGGCTTTCTGTGAGTTATACTTACTGCTAATAATGCATTATGACTTCAGGAGAAGAAATTTCGTCCCTTTTATAATTATCGGGTTGGTAGTCACTTTCTATTAATACAGGCAAATCAATTCTTATAGAACCATATATTGATTCCATGACGAAATATCTTCCTTTTTTCCCGGAAGAGACTACTCTTGATCTGCCGGAGAATGTTCATGAGGTTAAGTTTTCCGGTTTGACTTCCTGTCAAAAAGACAGAAGAATTCTGGCGTGACAAGATATCTTTGTTCCAGTTGTTCTTGTGATACACATTTACAGATGGTATTTTTGCACAACATTTCCCGCGATAAGGATCCTTGCAAATTAATGTGGTGTTGTGTTGTTTACTCCCACATTCTTTATAACTTATATGTGCATTGTATTCTCGACTCTTGTGCGTGGTGGACTCGCAACACATTGTTTTGTTTCAATAGACCTTTGAGTTCATCTATTGACTTGGCTCGGAACGTGCACGTGCAACATTTAATTAACGAATCTTGGTATTATGCAAAATACAACGACTTTCTTTGCTGGCGTCTCCAGATTTCTGCCCAAATGCTGTTTAATGATCAATTTAGCCATAGAGTGAGATGTGAACAATGGCGCAGCACATTTTGTAACTTGTGTCACTTTCGGTCCAAAGTTGAACCCAGGATCGTTCTTAATTTGAGTAATTTCCCTGATGAACGCAGATAATTCTGTAAAAGGTGGAAAGGCAACGTCGTGGTTTAATTTGTATCTAGATGCCCTTAATAACCACTTTTTCTGATTTCCATAAGCCGATTTGGCAATAATAGGGTTAATTCCAGACGGACAGACAAAATAAGCAAGAAAACATCCCAGCTTGGACGTTCATCAATTCATAAAGACGTGAATTGTCCTTGTAAAATGTTGGAAAGTCTATTCATGAGAGATGCATCTAACATTTCAGGAGCACCACACCGCTGATCAAGTCTCTGCCATGATCTTTGTATACCTCTTCTTTGGTTGTTGGCATTCGACGCCGTCATGGTATAAGCCACTTAACCAGTAGATTTATCTGTTCCGATTTGGAAACTGGTATCTCGTCTATGAAACTTGATTTCCAAGAGTGAAAGGATTCAGCTCGGTCGTTAAAATCTGTTAACCGGGAGAACAGAAGGCCTTGTGTAGAAAAAACCTGGTAAACTCCGATGTGGGTTGATATGTTAGTATGCAGCACGGATCTCTGTTACTGTATTTACCGTTCCCAAATCTTGGAATAAAGAAACTTCTGGTGACTGAGCATCTGCAGGAAAGACAGCAGGTGTTTGGGATGACAAGTTCAATGCCATGGATGGCACGAACGGTGCTTCATGACAGAAGTTTGTTTTTCCTCTTGTTCGCTTGTCACTTCCTATACAATAGTTGTTTATTGACGAAATCGTGCACCAGTTGTAGCGGTTCTTAAGTTCGTTTGGAAGATTGCATAATGCTTGTCTGTAGTCGTACTCTCAGGAATGGACCTCTGCGTCTACGGCTGCAGCTTCTCTTTGTATCACGAAAAGGTTCAAATTGGCCCTCAGTTCAGCTTTTCCTGGGTTACACGTGCAAACCTCTTGTTGGACTTGAGGTTTCCTGCGTATGTTGTTTTTTTTTTGTTCTGCTCGGATGGCTTCTTGCACCAATTTAGGCGTTGATCTCAGCTTGTCTGAACAGAACTTTTTCCTCTAATATTGCCTCCTGTTTAAGGATCAGGGCATGTTATTTGGCAAAGGCTATTTTAGATTTAGCAGCCTCTTCTTTTGTACGCTTCCTCCGTGCTAGGCTAGACATGTCAGATACGTTGGATATTCCGCTATGTGAGTTTTCTTAGCATTTGATGTCTTTGGTTTAGTGGATTCAGTCTTTTTCAGAGCAAGGCGATGCTCGTGCAGAGATCTAATGACCAGGTCCGCATTGGACAGTCGAATATCCGTTGAAAGATTACACGTTTCCGTGTCCTTAAGATTGTCAAACATGTCCAACGTTCTGATCTTCTTCAAAGAGTTCAGTTACTCATCTGTGAGCCCGCTATAATAAGTACAGGCTTGTACAATTTTGTCATGTGCTGTTAGCAGTAGCTGGAGCTCGTTAGGAGGCGTATCCTATAACTGGAATTCTAGATCTGGCCAGAGGGGCTCTAGCTCCTGACAAAACTTGCTACGTTTCTCTGTGAATGCTCCTTTGCTTTTTTCCGTGAATTCACGTATTTGCCTAGTCACGGGATTTTCCTCTTTGTGTTGAAAATCAGACGGATTTTCTTGTGGCTCTTCAATAGCGTAACCTTCTGTGACTGAACGTCTTGCTGCTCCACGTGACTGAGATCCATGATGTTAATCAACTAACGGATAGGTTAATAAAATTGAACTAAAACTCAACGTTGTTGTTTTGCTGTCCGGGACACACCAGCTGTGTTGTTTAGTCTCAAGGTAACAGCTACGAACGATGCTTCGTAATTTTTCCTGTTCAGGGTATGTGTAGACAAGTTGTTGTCAATTAACTGTACTTGCCGGACAAATATGTATAACAAAGTGACTTAATCGCAATCTCGGCGAATATATATGAAGCAACTTGTTTTGAAAAATGTAATTATAATACTAATATTTCACCAGAATGATTACAGTAGTCAATGTTATGGTAAACTGCAATAAAACAAAAAGCAATACTAACAATGTGTACGAAAAGAATATAGTAAAGTTTAAATATGATATTAATCAATCAAGCAAAAATGAAAATAGAATTAAAAGTTGAAATCTCTGATATAGATAGTTTACAGTTCATATCCATTTAATAAAAAAAACTGATCCAAATTAACGGAAATAATCGGATTTAATTCTCAAAAATTATAGATGAATCAAATGTACTCGTGAGTGATATTTCTCAATTTCCTCAGAAAATCAAATGTCGTCCATCTGACATATTTTGAACTTCTGAAGCAGACGCTGTGTACGTCACGTAGTAAATTAAATATGATGATGTAAGAAATCGGTCCATTGCGATTTGTTCCGGATAATTTATAAATATAATAATAAACATGAAATTGAAACAGAATTGCACTTCATGACGATTCCGTGCAATTACTTGTGAACCTTATGAGCAATGTTTTTAGAATTGTAATATGTTACAACTAATGAAAACAATGAGATCAAGTTCGATCTTGATGATTTTCCATTTTGCCGTCCAGAAGTTATGGTTCTTGATAGATTGAAAAATAGCACTTTATGTCTTTTTCTTGCAATAACTGATGAACTGTTTAACAAATTCTCCTAAAACTTTAATATGAGGTTGTTGTTCCAATTGTCGTTACTTCAATCCCGTCCTTTTTCCCCAGAATGTGACCTACTGAATTAGACTTATCAACAGGTTTGTACTTACGTGAGGAACACAATGGGTGCCACATGTGGAACAGGATCTGCTTACCCTTCCGGAGCTCACACCCGGTTTTTGGTGGGGTATGTGTTGCTTACTCTTTAGTTTTCTATGTTGTGTTTGGGTATTGTCGTTTATTTTTTAGTATTTGTCTTTTTTGTGATTGTAATGGCGGTGTCAGTTTACTTTTGATTTATAAGTTTAAATGTTCCTTTGGAATATTCATCTCTCTTTTACTGATGACAAAAAAAATGGTCAAGATAGATGTTGGCGATTATCCTTTTCGTCAACGGTGTTAGTTGCTATCGAAATATGAGTTCTGAATGTTTTCTTCCTGTTTTTAAATTAAATTCACAATATTTATTCATGATGACTTAATTTTTTTTTACAGACAAAATAGTACATTTAGTCACTCCGCTTGCAGATGAATATCAGACAACAAAAACGCTACTAAAGGCAGACGATTTCCTTTCAAACAAAAGCAGACAACTTGGTGATAGAATTAGTTCTCAACAGGTTATCTCAAATATATTACAGGCTGAATCACACAACCTTACATCGTATCTAGAAGAATCAATTGCAATTGCGTCGAGGAAATTGTTTAATAGATTGGTAGCTAATCCAAAATTTAAGGAAATTAGTTCTGAAACGAGGATGAAAATTGCACTCAAACGTTGGAGCGACGTCGATCAAGTTTTTGAATCGTCTGGTAATACTCAGGGAATAACAGAGAGTACTGACTTTTACAAACCTTACCAAATGCCAGTATTTGCTTCTTCAACGGTGGGGGGTCTATATCAACATGACCAAGCAAGGTCTTCTATAGGGCAAACCAGTTTTCCTTTTGGTGTACAACGTAGCAATGTTCCGACTCCAGACTTAAATTTCAACCTTAAACAATTCATGCAACGTAATTAGCTTCAGTTATATATCACTACTGGACGAAAAAACAACTGTCCATACCAGTAACAGTCGTTGTACGACTGTCTTAGTCTGTGGAAGACTGAAGATGACTGTCAAAGAAACTGATACAGTTGATTAATGTCTGTCCCAACACTTTAATGGGTTGTGAAAATCAAAAAATGTTATCAACAGTCATTTAAGGACTGTTGCAGTGGTTTACGGGGTTGTCACAGTCAAATACTACTTATTACAGTCTTTCCAAAAGTTGTGGCAGTTGTATAATGTTTGTCCCAACCTTTTAATAGTTGGGACAGTTGAAATTTGTTTATGTCAACTTTTCAGACGTTTATGCAGTCAAAAAATGTTTGTTACAACGTTTTAAGAATTGGGACAGTTTTAAAATGTTTGTTACAACTTTTTAAAGGTTGTTACAGTCATAAAATGTTTATTACAAATTTTAAAAGGTTGCTACAGTCGTTAAATGTTAAAAACAAACGTTTCATATGTTGTTGCAGTCGACAAATATTCAAGTTAGTGTCACGGTAGCAACTCAGTGTAAAAAAAAATTACGTTTCACCCGGCTCTCAACATTTGATATAGTTGTGAAATAGCCCATAATTTATACTATTATTATGTATTGTGCGGTTGTTGACTTGTTTTGTTTTTTATTTATTTATTTTGCGATCGTTGTCTGTCTTTTGTCGTTTTCCGTTTATAGCCATAGCATTGTCCGTTCATTTTTGACATGTGCGTTTGACTTTCTTTTAGGTATCTGTACTTTTTATTTTATCTATTCAGATTCGTTCATAACTGGTTTTACATACAAGAAGCCTTCGTTTAAAAATGGAGTTTTAATATTATTGCAGAAGATGCTAAAGAATTGATTCAAATTTATATTTGAAAAAGTTTTGATAAATTCTGAGGAATAGAAAATGTACCGTCGGTGTACCTGAAGTAAATTTAAAGAATATGACTAAGTTACCAATATTGTACAGCATAATAAAACAGTTTTAATTTGAATTACTCTCCATGAGGGATATTTCCGATGATAAAAAAAAACTAAATCTGTCAAGTTTCATTAAAAACGGAAAACAATTCTTCACCGTGAACGATTTACCCTCTTTATTTTCTTGTCGGCAAATTGGACCTGCAGGTCGGCAAACTATATTTTACACAGGAAACTACAGATGTTAGACCACATGTACAATATAAGCTGAGCTGGAAATTACAATCGGTGAGTAGAAATTAACAATATTTTAAAGCATGTCTATCGAATAATCATGGATCCAAGATTTTGAAGGGAAAATGTGCACATTTGTTCTTCCTACAGACAGGCTATGAATCGACGATCTATATCACCACACTCGTGCATAGTTGCATGTTCCAAGGCAAAGTTAGGATTTGGGCTTGGAAAAGTTGTGCATCATTGAAATTCATGTATAACACCATTCCCCCTCCCCCTTTTATCATGTGTATGTCATAATAATCCCTTATTTACTTTGCATACATCACCCCAAGGGTGACAAGGTCAAGGGAATAAAAAAAGGTTACTCTTGATCTTCATCGTCTTACTGCTAAACTCTAACATGTGGGGCATTGGTTAACTTTTGTTGTGTGGGATGGCCTTTTACAGGACCTATACATCATGTACATTTTGTATGTTAATGTATTGTTAACTCTCTGGTCTTAAATTTGCATGAAATACTTGTCACTGGACTTTTTATAACCAACAATCAACCAATCTTTACATGTACATATCCATATAATTGTGTTACTAATGCTGGATTACAAGTATTTCCATGATTTCCTTGGTTTTGCTTTATTGGCTGATAGTTTTCGTTCTATTAAGAATGCATTGTGACGTCACAATTTCCATTGAAAAAACATGCATAGTACAAATTAATATGACAGTGTACGAAAACATATGATATGACCTTAAAATTTTACGAAAATTATTAATTTTAGTGACTTATTTAGCAAGTATGCATTTTCATTCAATTCCTAAATAATTCCCAAATCATGGACAACAAAACATGAATAGATTTGATAATATATTAGGCATTGAAAGTGAATATGTATTAGATGGTTCAAAATAACATTAATCATCAAAATAAAACAATATTATTTAATAAATGTTCCTGAAACCATGCACAGAGTCATATAACAGTTGCCATTTAAACACAGTTGATTAAACAAAATGTGCTAATTCAATTAGTAAATGTTTCATCATGTACTTAAGGATTCAAATTGAACAAGGGTTGTGGAGTTTGTTGCATCTTTTCTCAAAATGAATAAAATATCTATAAATATTTCATTATGTTAATTGCTACATGTACATGGTTTTAAGTTAAAAAGAAATAAAAAACATATTAAAAGTTTAAAGAGCAAAGTTAGCATCATAATTATATTCTGTTTAGATTTAACATAGAATATTAAATCACTATATATTTGTAAATACTTTGAACATAAACTATATATTTTCATGTGAAATTTTTATATAAATTGTGCCCTGTAGCATGGTTAGTCAAAATTCATTTATGCCATAAATGTTATCTAGGAGTAACATTCAATGGTCTTTTTATTTATTCCACCATTAAAAAGATTAAAGGACTTTCTATTCATGAGTCAAATTTGTGTGTTAAATTGTGTTTTGGTTACTTTATTGTTGCCTTACTGTTGGGTTGATGCATCATTGATATATAGTTATATCCCACATCTCCTTTCATCATGTGCATTCACATCTGACTGCAGATTTTTTGCCTTTTCTACATAATTATTTTATGTTTAACATTCAATATGTGGGGAAAACATAACAAAAAATCTATCTGTAAGCATATTTTTTTTATCTAAACATGGTATAAACTTTTTTAAAGTATTTTATGAAGCTCAAAATATTTTTTATAGATATTGTATTATCAAGTAAGTTGTCATAAAATTTACTGTGTTAACTGCATTGTATGTCTAATAATTTAGTTTAAAAATACCTTTTATCATGTTTATTAAAATTCAAAATAAATAATTAAAATATATGTATTTACTGAACATGAATTCATGACCAAGCAAATGTGACATTAAACAATGTTAAAATAGGTAATAATCAGGATGTTAACACTGGATAGGTGATAATCAGGAATTCTTATATACATGCTATAGCTAATATACAGATTAAGACACACAATAGTTTATTGCCTTGGGGAGGAATTTTAAACTGTCATGGGTATATATTGAAGATGATTTTATAATGAAGTTCACACATTATAATTGTCCTCTTCAAAATGTTGATAAATTTTTCAAAATAAATCATAATTTAAAAAAAATATGAAATAGCAGGATATAATATTATTTTGGATACAAAAAATGCATATTTTAAAAGTTATCTGAGTATTGATTTATCAAAATAAAATTGGGTAAATAACTAAAATAAAATAAAGAAAGTGTTGTCTGAGCTGCAAAGCATTATTTAATACAAGCTGTAATAAGTAAAAAGTATACTGGGTAACACAAAAGATGTAAAATTAAACTCAAGGATTTAAAACATTAACAGGGAGGGTTAAGCCTTGGAACAGTATATATATTATCCTGATTAACCTTAGGACAAAGATTCTACATTTACATCACAAAGGTTTATTCATTATATGCACTTGACAAAGGGAAAGTCAATAGCATTTATATAGGTAACAGTGCATTTATTTTATTTAATTATTTTTTTCATTCTTTAAACTTTTCTCTGTAGTATCAATCTATTTCATATTAACATGAACAAAAAGAATAACCTGATGTGTTTTAGAGAGGAATAACTATGTCCATGATGTCTGACTTTAAAGAATTGATGAAATAAAGTATGGTGTGAGCCTCAATAAGACAGTAACCCTTCAATGAAAGTACACAGTCACACATAAAAAATCATTAATGTAGGAAAAAAGACAACACCGTATGTAGAATTTAGACCCCCTAAAAAGATTTATTCTTCTTGTTTAAAATTGGGACTTAAAAATATAATTGTATAAGTCCTACAAATTTTTTGTCAATCAAATGAGGATTGCTAGTTTTCATCAAGGTAAATACAGTTATTGTAATTGACTTTCTTCCAAGTACCTTACAATGTATATAGTAATATGTTAGTTAAAATTTTACTGTTCTTTAGTCTCAATGTTTATATTTTTTTGTAGATTCATATTGGCTTGAGCATGATTCCCACTTAGAATATGAAGCCTGCTACATGAGCACTTTGATGCATAGGAAATATACATGTAGATGTCACTGAGTCACTCTTATAGCTGCAAATTGTGAAACAGAGGATTAATTCATTATTTTGTGCTAGTTATTTATTGTTTTTGGAAATAATGATTAGCACTTGCAGCATTATTCCATGATGATGATGACTTGAGATGTTAGGATTAAATTGGACAAGAAAAAAATTGTGCATTGTACAAATAGGAAACTTACAAATAGTTAAAGGAGGACCACAGTACTGGATGACTAAATAACTTGGATAATCATGATAATTATTCATTTGGTATATCAATAATGAATTTGGAATAACAAGATTTCATAGTTTCAGTGCATATTAATAGTGCAATCATACATTGTATCTGAATTCCATGAATACCTTGGATAATTATTCATTTGAAATAGCCATTTGGAATAATGAAAATTCATAGTTTCAGTGAATATTAATAATAATAGTGCATCATATCTGAATTCATGAGTACTTTAGTGGATAATCAGTCATTTTAATATAATAACAATTTGGATAATGTGAATTTCTAGTTTCAGTGAAATTTACAAAACAGTGCATGTATATCGCATCTGAAGTTTATGTTGGCATTGCAATTGTTAACTACCACCTGCAGGGTGTGTAAAAAGACCTTAACCACCCATGAGGGTCTCTCGTAGTCCGTCACAATTGTTTAGTGTCAAATGACTGCTTGCTGTACTTTAAGTCTGAATTAGAATTGAATAAAAATCTAAATTAGTGCCCAAATGCAAGCATATTAAACATGTTAAACAAATAAACCATGTAC